GGCTTTTTGAATAAACTGTGGCTTTGAACAAAGGGCAGGACAGGTCCCTGGTCTTCAGCTGACCTCGCACGACAGGGAAAACGACATGGCAAGGCTGGCCGATAAAATACCGGCATGTTTTTTGCAGGGAAAAATGGTTGGTTGCCACATGTGTCTTCCAAGCCCCATCTCCCAAGCGTGGGGCAGCCCGCTGCCATTTGGAAAGAGGCGTTCTCATCCTCCCCCCCTTTTAAAAATTGATGTCTTATTCCTGGCCGGTCTCCAGAACAAAACGAAACTCAAAGGTAGCAGCTGGTCATCGGGTGACTGTGGAAATCTCTGTAAATGCTGCACTTTGGCATCGGGAGATGCTAAATTATTTTTCCACCAAGCTCTTAGCCGTGCTGGCTGGGGGCAATGGGGGTTGTAGTCCAGCTTCTGTGAGGTGATGGGTGTTGGGGGTGGCTGTTCTCGCCCAACCCTGAGCAACTCCCCAGAGCCTGGAGCAGAAGGAGCCATTCCCTGGTGCTTTCCCCCTAGAAGGTGGGCCCCACTGTGGAGGGAGGGGGCAGTCCCCTTGCATGCAGGCCCCACTGAGCTCCTAGGCGCCCCAACTGGGAGGTTCCCCCAGTTGCGTGGGGTGATGGCAATGGCACTTTGCAGGAGGTCTGTTTGCATTTGCTCATGGGGAGCCCCTTAGAGTAAACCTGGTTCCCCCCCACTGGTTGGTGGCTGCACAGACAGCCCTCTGCCCAGGCCCCAGCCTCCCCCCAGACGGCCATTGTGCAGGGCCCAGTGAATAGGAGTGGCTGGATCTGGGTCCAGCAAGGGCCATCACCTAAAGCAGTGTTTTTCAACCTGGGCAACTTTAAGATGTGTGGACTTCAACTCCCAGAATTCCCCGGCCAGCATGCTTTAAGATGTGTGGACTTCAACTCCCAGAATTCCCCAGCCAGCATGCTTTAAGATGTGTGGACTTCAACTCTGGCTGGGGAATTCTGGGAGTTGAAGTTCACATATCTTAAAGTTGCCCAGGTTGAGAAACACAGACCTAAAGCAGTAACATGGGTCATTTATACGGGCACAGAATATTTATGTGAGCATCACTGGGTCTGTGAACATGGCTTTGGGATTTAGTAGTTTGCAGAAATCCAGCTGTGGTCTCTGTCCCCGTGTCTCGTGGAAGAGGGCTGGCATGAGGTGCAAATATGAAAGCCTTTCAGTGGGTTAGTTTTAACCCCCAAACTGGTGGAAAGCGACTTGATTGGCGCTCCTGTGGCTGGGAGCCCCCACGTTCAGCCATGGCACCCCTGTGTGAGTGAATGGGCGCTTCCTCTGGGTTCAGACATTGACCCATAAACGAAATTTGCTGGGTTCAAATATAAAAAGCACACATCAAAGTTAAAAATGAAGAAGCTTTGCATCCTGTATGGATGCAGCTGCTGGTTAAGGGGATTGTGTGACCCAACCTGTGTTGCCATTCATACATTAAATGAGGGCATGGGGGCAGACAGACTGTTGTTGAAACACCACTAATCCAGATAAATGGCTGTGAGCCCCAGAATGTCCTGCATTTCTCTGGGTCTAAAGCATTGTTTCTTGACTTCAGCAACTTTTAAGATGTATGGACTTCATCTCCCAGAATTCCCTGGCCAGCATGCTGGCCAGGGAAATCTGGGAGATGA